TCATTTCAGAAAAGAAAACAAATAGCTGGTTATCAGTGTCCCTTTTTATAAAATAAATTTCCAAAGAAGATAAATAGCATGTTATAATATATATGAATGTATATATGTTATAATATATATGAACATGTATTATACTTTTGTGTTATTACATTACACAAACTAAAAATAATCTTTATATTTTATGACTAGAACATAAGGATTTTAGATTTTGAAATTCATCAGTAATTTTAATTAGGAAAAAATATAAATGTATACAATGAATCCAATCATGTAAAATTGCAGTTATTAACATTGATTTTGTTTCTAAGTGGTAATATATGGTATTTAATATGAAGAAGATGGATTCTTTTTTGGAAGACATGGGAAAATAATTAAAATGGTACTGTGAATTGCTCTATAATACTTTTCAAAAGCAGGAATCACTTAACTCATTCTTGATAATTCAACAATACTGGGGGAAAAGGTAAGGATTATCCAAGGAACAAGTGATTTGATGAACAATTTCTTACTTGTCCACCATGAACTAAGTATAGAAATCAAGATTAAACCTTTAGAAATTTTTAAACAAGTTGACATTGGTACAATACTTAACTGCATTACTTTTTACTTTGTAGAATATTGATTTATAACTGGAGATGCCCATGGGCCTTTGAGAAAAAAATATTGAGAGTGAATAAATACAGCAAGTTGTATTACTTTACCTCCTTTACTACAAGTTAAATTAACCGCAATACTGAGACTACCTAAGGTAAAACTGATGTGTTTTCTCTCAATGAAGTGACACCTAATAATGATTTCTAAAGAAATATATTTGGTTTACACAATCTTAGACTAGATCCTAAGCAGAAAGAAAAAGAAATGTGATAAAGAACATTATGGAGTATTTGGAAAAACTGGAAACTAGATGGTAAATCTGATAGAAGTACTGTACATCAAAGTTAAGTTTACTCATTCATAACTACTGTGATTGTGTAAGAGGTTATGCAGTTACGTTATTCTTATGAAATACTTACTCAAGTTTATGTGGATAAGAGCCACAGTGTAGCTATGTTACTCTCAAATGATTCATTAACAAAAAAAGTATTTGTGGAGCTGGGCATGATGGTGCATGGGCACACCTGTAAGCCTAGCACTTGGGAGGTTGAAGCAGGAAGATTCTGAGTTTGAGGCCTCTCTGGGCTACATAGCGATTGCCTCAAAAGCCAAAAAATAAAACAAGAGTTTGTGTAATACATATACATACAGAATTACAAAGCAAATGTGACAAAAGGGCAAATGTTATTCCTTATACAACTCTTACTCTCTGTACGTAAACTATTTTCAAATAAAAAGATTTTCTAAAAACTAAACAAAAAAGAAATACATTTGGAATGGTATGTTGTCATTAATAATAAACAAAAATGTTTTTATACATGAGGAAAAGGAAGTTTATTTACATTAATGTTCTTGTTCATTAATATTTTGTTGATACTGATTCAACAAATATTTTTCTTAATATCTTGTATTAATAATTGATTGGATTTGATCTTGTCTCTTCCAGGGACACAAAGATAATAAGATAGCACTTATATTCTTAGTGGGCATAAGAATCAGTGGGATTCTTTTTATGATGCATAGTGTAGGGCCCTACTTCAGGGTCTTATTCAGGATATACAAATGGGACCAAGAAAGTATGCATGCATGTGGCTCAGTATTGGAGTCTGAGGAACATAATCAATACATGACATCACTGACATGCACATCTCATAAATCTGAATACCCAATGAGAAAGCCTTAGTAAGTTTAAAAGGTGAATACAATAATCAGTAAATGGTTACATTTAGAAAGATTAAGTAAAAGGAAATGAGGTCTAGATATTCGAATTATCTCAATTTTTTTTAACGTACAGTTGTAAACTTTGAGAAGAGGTCCAGATTAGTAGGTAGATGTAACTGCAGCTGTGGTAGATCTGCAGCTACAGTCTGGGATAATTATGGAACAAAAACTACGATCCAAAATTCAGAGGCATGGGTGATAGGCTTTTAAATTTCAACTTAAGATTTCTAAACTTCAGGATATACTATTTGACCTTGATGTTACTTTGCAATAGTTAAGTAAATAAATGTGTGTAGCTCCTCTCATGGCAACCTGTTATATAAACTTGATGTGTTAGTCCAAGTGATGTTGCCCATCCCTCCCCAAAATATGTATCTCTAAGAAGTATGAATATGCCATGCTACGTAGCCAAACTGCCATTGCAGGTATAATTAAGTTAGAGGACTTTAATATTGGAGGACTAACTGCTTTTATTTTGGTGGATCCACATAAAACATGTGGCTCCTTAAAACAAGAAATATTTCTAACTAGAGTGAGATATTTGTAGAAGAAGAAGGTAGTAGAGAGATGTATCTTAAGTAAATCACAAAGATTGCTGTGTCACAGGATTCAATGAGGTAGTCACTAGATCTGACATAAATGGCCCACAGACAAAGAAAAGACACTTGTAGGAGTTATGCGTTGCCACCAGCTGATCACCAGCAATGAAACAAAGATTTTATTTTTACAATCCTAAGCAACTAGAGCCTGTCAGCAAGCTGCCAACAGAACGAGTGAGGAAGCAGGTTTTCCTCAGAGGTTTCTAATAACAGCTCAGACCACTGTTTTTTGTTTTGTTTTGTTTTTCAACTATTTGAGACCCAGAGCAGAGCATACAGCTGAGAACACAAGAATATTTCACCTATAGAACTGTGAGATGACATATTTTGTGTTGTTTTCAGCTGTTAAATTTTTGGTAATTTGTTATTGAAGTAACAAAAACAAAAAAGTAATACACATGGTAAAAGACACATATCACAAATCAATATCTGAAGATTCTTCAGGGTTGTGGTCATTCCCTGTGTACTACCTGCATGCCTAGAATCCTATATTTAAAATTAGGCCATCTCAAATATACATTAAAATGTTAGGAAAATTGTAGAATCCATTTTCCTGAAGCTGCAAAGATGGACAGACATTTCATGCTGCTGAAATGACACACAAAAATGTAATGTTGCTTATTTAGAAACAATTGGTGACTATGAAAATATTTTTTGAATATGAACTCATGAAACCCATCAGCCAAATCAGAAACATGCCAACATCATGATTCATCTTTCATGTTATTAAATTTTCAGCACACTCATTACTTTCACAAAAAACAAGCTAACCTAAAAATATCTTTATATTTTGATTAAAGGATATGAAATTTATATTAAAGAGCTACTGGTAGAAAAGTACTGAATTGCTAACTTTTTCAGTATTATCAAAATTAAAGGTGTAAACCTTTTGGTTTCTGATAATGAATAAAGTGGAATTTGCTAAGGTTTAAAAAATTCTCCTCTATTGCAAGAACACCTTAGAAGATAGTGAATACAATGGAGGAAAATAAGCATTTGAATTCATCTTCCCCTAATAGACAAAAGAATTCAGAACTGTTTGAATAAAAAACTGTTTTCAAAATTATGGTATATAACTGGAGAACATCATACTGAGCGAGGTTAGCCAGGCCCAGAAGACCAAAAATCATATGTTCACCCTCATATGCGGACTTTAGATCAAGGGCAAACACAAGGGGATTGGACTTTGAGCACATGATGAGGTGAGAACACACACAAGGTATGAGGATAGGCAAGAACCCTGCCCCCCCAAAAAAAAACAAGATAGTATTTCATGTCCTCAATGCAAAGGAACTAATGCAGAAACTTTAAAGCAACAAAGCCCAATAGGAGAAGGAGACCAGGAACTAGAGAAAAGGTTAGATCAAGAAGAATTAATTTAGAATGTAACACATATGTACAGAAAAGCAATGCGAGTAAACTCCCTGTATAGCTATCCTTATCTCAACTAGCAAAGACCCTTGGTCCTTCCTATTATTGCTTATACTCTCTCTTCAACAAAATTAGAAATAAGGGCAAAATAGTTTCTGCCTGGTAGCGAGGGGATAGGGAGAGAGAGGGAAGGGGCAGGGGAAAAGGAGTGGCAGGAGAAAAGGGGGAGAAATGACCCAAACATTGTATGCACATATGAGTAAAAGAAATTTAAAAAATTATGGTATGTGATATTATTCATAATTACAAAATTGAGAAAATATTTTTACTTAGTTGTTTGGTAAGGGGTATTTTTTTCCTAGGAGAAATACAGCATTAGATGAAATAATGTTTAGTTTTACAAATTACCCCAGATGCAAAATGCTATATTTATACTGTAATATTTCCGTTTTATATATGATTATTTTCTAGTGAGCTCTAAACATACTGGATTTTATATCATAAATTTTAATACATAACTGTGCCTGGGTTGGGGTGTAGGTCAATGGAAGAGCACTTGCCTAGCATTTATGAGGCCCTGAATTCTGTTCTGAAGTCCTCCAATTAGTTCAGGTCAGTTTTAATGCTAAATGAACCTGTACTAAATGAACTCCCAGGAAAAAAATCTTTAATTTTTGATATTTTCAGGCTTTCCTTTTTGTAGTTAAATGGCTAGGGATCCATATGAAAAAGGCTATTTAGCAATGGAAGATACCAACTCTTGCTTCTGTCTGGATTTTCTTCTGTTGACTCCAATTTTAAAAGAAGAAAAATGACTAGTTTCACTCTGGTAGAGAGGTACAGCACAGAAAAAATAAGGTAGAGTCCATATTGCCTGGATCCTAAATTTTGTCTAACTTCCTTTTACTCTTACATTTAATTTATTTTTGTTAATGTTTAACTCAGTAGTGATTTCTTGCTCTCATCTCCTAAGAGATTAAGGGAAAGATTTTCCCATAACAAGGTACAGTGGTGTGAAATATTAAACTCTACTTGTGATAGCATTTTACTGTACATTAATAATTAATGAGGAAGTGAACCTTGTGACAGATCTGAGACAACTGGATGAATGGTTTTTCTCTTCATGCTGATTCTATGCTCTATTGACATACTTGGAGATTTCTTACTGGATTACACTAAACTGAGCAGTGTTCTTTTTACAGTATGATCACTTACCTTCATAATATACTTTAAAGCCATGAGCACTAACTGCAAAATCACTGGTCAGACGTAGTGAGAACACAGACTTGGTACTTGTCACTGGTGGTGGTAGATGAAATCCTGTTAATCTAAAAGAGAATGGAATGGATTGTTAGTGTCATAGTCATTTTGCCTAGTAGAGTTTAAGGAGAAATTAAATTCGTGTTATCAAGTTCTTATACCTTATGTAATATATAATAGCACAGTTTTGTAGTAGTTTCTCCATACTCCAGAATACAATTAAAGCTTTTAATTTTCCTCTTGCCACATGAACTACATCAACCCACGGTACATAAGAAAACCTTTTCCTAAATTACTTTGTGATTGTTTTTTGGTCAATAGCTACTGGTATATCTTTTAAAATATTAAGCATGTGGTATAACTGTATATTTTGCTATCAATGCACATCTCATTGGCATTATATATTCAGAAAACATTCTTAATATGAGTTTAAATCCTTTGAAATTCATTTAGATTTTCTTTATGGATCAAATGATTAGATATTTTAAAATGTTTCTTATGTCCCTGATTTTCTTATGAAGAACAGAACAGATATATTAGTTTTTCTATTTCTAGTCCAACTTAAACAACACGCATTAATTACCTCACAGTTATGTAAGTCTGGGCAAAGCAGAGCCCAGCTGATTCTGCTTACTCTTACAAGACTAAAATGAAATGTCATCTGGGTTGAATGGCTTTTTGGAGGCTCTGTGCTATACCAGCTTCCACTTCAACGCTTGTAAATTGCTGCCAGAATTCAGTTCCATGCATTTGTAAGATTATGATCCCTGTGCCCTTGCTGGCCTTTGTGTTAGAATTGTTCTCAAATGCTAGTGTTGACTTGTATTCATCCCTTAATTTAACGACCCTTCCTTCATTATCACAGCTAATAATGGCAGTTCCTCTCATTCCTCAAATCTCTCTCCTCCTTTTTTGCTTCATTTTTATACTTTTGCTCCTGACTGTTCTGGCTCCATCTTAAGAGCTCTCTGCTTTGAAGTGTTCATGTAATTATATGATACCCAAATGGGCAATTCAAATATCTTCTTAAACAGCTCAAGTCGCAATTCTATCTGCAAAGATTCTTATGTCTGCAAAGATTCTTATGTCAAGTGAAAGAACATCACACGATCTCAGGGAAACTATATTCTGCCAGTGGTAATCAACATTCAATATTAGCTAAGCATAGAGTTCAATATATCTTTTGGATAAATTTATTAATTATGCTCCAATAGTTTCTAAACTGACCGTAGTTTTTAAAAATCTGCTACTTTCTGAAAGGGATATGCCAAAGTCTCCCAGTTTGTGAATTTTTTAAAAACTTCATCCTTATATTCATATCCACTTAAAAATGTTTTGGAACTACATTATTTGGTTTTAAATTATTATATTTCCTGATGCTTTAAACATCTTTTCTTTATGAGATGTTACTCTCTGTTTATAAGAATTATTTCACCTTACACTTTATCTTATCTGACAGTAATATGTCCTCATGTTTCATTGAATTAAACTGGAGTGGGACATCATTTATCTTTCAACTTTTTTGTTTCCATACCTTTTTGGATTTGTCATTTATAGCCAGAATATACTTGGATTATATATGACAAGTTTTTTCTTTTGTTTATAAATATGTGAATCAGCTATAATACTCATACAGAAATCTACATAAGGAAAAAGTATATGGACTGCTGAATTATCACAAATTAAACATTGTTTCAGACCAAGAAATAAAACATAACCTATATATAAAGCTTTGAAATATTAAATACCATATTTAAATGATTCTTCCTGTAGTTTCTTTGACTCACCAATATATTTGTAGTATTATAATAGTAATACAGAATGTATTGGTCGTGGCCATATAGGATTTGATTTTATGAATATTTATTATTTATCCCCCTACTGTTGTTGGACATATTTTCCTAGGTGGGTCTTCTATGAAAGGTGTGGCCATAAATATGTGTTACAAGTTTTGTAAGCATATGTGCATATTTTATTGACAATATACCTAGAAATGGAATTACAAACCACAGTCATAATTTGTTAAATAAAATATTTTCTATATGGTTTTCAGCTTCACTTCTTAAATGTCAAGACTAAAAATAAATTATTTTTCACTGTGGTCAGAATATTTTTACATAGAGAATAAGAAATATTGTTGTAAAAGGACAGATCATATTTTAGTACACAAAAATATTGGAAAAACCTATCTACTTCAAAAGGAGGCTATCATACATGATTTTTTTTCAGGTAGAAATCTATGACCATATGGTCTTATTTTTGAAAGAAAATTGCACCATGTAATATTTAAAAAGGAAAAAAAAAAACCCGAGCAACACCCAGTTTGGCAAACAGAGCAAGCTATATCATACATAATTTTATATTTGATGCTGTGCTGTGAATATAGCCTTTCAAAACATGCCCATGCTCTGATCCATGAGGTTTTTTAATTTATCACCTTACATGGTAAAAGGAACCTTGAAGATGTAATTAAGAACTTGAGATTGGAAAATTATGCTGGGTTACTTGGATGGGTCCAAAGTAATCACAAAAAAAGAAGCAGGAGGGTCAGACAAAGGAAAATGTGATAGCAAAAGGAAAAGTCAGAGTGATGTGATTGCTGGCTCTGAATATGGAAGAGGACCACCCCACAAAGAAGGACAGACAGACTGGAGACTCTGGAAAAGTTACCGAACACTGATTTCTCAGAACCTTCTGAAGGAAGACAGCCTTCAGAAATCAGTCAGGAAGACTGATTCCCAACAGTTAAATCTGTTTTGAACTTGTGTGTACCCAGACAGCAAGATAATAAATTTGTGTTGTTTAAACAACTAAATATGCAGGAATTTACTGAACCAGCAAAAGGAAACTAATACAGAGCTGTTTTCAACTTTAAGGATATAAATTTCTTAAGTATCAAAATAAAGATTAATTTAGTATGTGATTGAAAATGGAATTTCTGTGGAACCTAGTGACAATCCCCTGTGGCAAAGATAAGAGTAGATTCAGAACCTACTAGTATAATATTTGTTTATGACTTTTAAAAAAAACTCTATGTACATAGAATATGCAGTTCTCTCCACAGATTAGAACACACAAGATGCTAGGAGGAATTAAACTCAATGGAGTTTGCAGTGAGCCAGGTGTTAAGACAAGGACTTCATTATTGTGTCCAGTTTTCCAATAAATATCCTGTCCAGTTCTTCTTGTCTTTAACATAGTAATTGCATCAAAACATTAAATATTTAAACTACAAATGCAGACATTAACATACAGATTTTTTTACATGCGAATGCCTACTCACTCAGATATTTATAATAATCCAAGATTTAGATAATATTTATAATACTTTTATGATTAAGTAATCCAAGATAATAGAGAATGACAATATGAGGACTTTTTCCTTTTTAGTAAAAGGTACTTATCTGCAGCAATGTTTAAATAATCAAACATATAGTGGCATTTTGTAGATAGAGGTTAAATTTTGTATTTAATTTCAACAAATGAAGATGTGTTACTTATGTTTATATGATCATTGTATCATTACAAGTATTTGCAGTAACAAAGAGTCTCTGCAAGACATTGCTTGATTGATTTGAAAATAAATGCAAATATACATCCCACTTCTTTCATTTTGTAATTTCATCTTTGTATGTATGGTTATTTATTAAGCTCTCCTTTCTCGTTAGACATTAAACTTCATGAAGTCAGTATGTGAGTCTCATTTGTCTAACACAGAGGCTGAAAATGACATAAACCATGCAAGAGGCCCTAAGTATGTAAATACCTGCTCAATTAACAAATTGAGGTGATAGAAGAGTGTGTATACCATCTTAATACTTCATATTAAATCAAGAATTATCTCAAGAATCACAAGAATGGAAAGGAAACTCAATTGTTAAGAATAATTCAGGTAGTTTATGTAGAGCCTCTTGTTCAGAGAAAATCATTTTTCTCTACATTATTAACTTCTCAGATGAAGGGAAATGTTCATGTACCTCATGCATATCTTGTCTATGTGTCTTTCAGGATACCCCTGCATACTTCTAAAACTTATTTTCAGCTAAAGCTCGATTCGTATCTTTGAAAGAGCTGTGGGTTTAAATATTTAAATATATGTCCATTTCACTTAGTATCACATTTTCTAGGTAATATAAAAATGATAATATTTTATGAATAATAATATTTTCCATTAAGTAATTTTTAGTGATTCAGACATCGGTGGAATTTAATATTCTGTATATATTGTTAAATTAATACATTACCATTTATATTTCCTTCAAAGTGATACATGAAGACATTGCACCATGGATGCTATTTTATCTTCACTTGAAAAGAATTCCAGAGTGCGACCATATTTTCTCTGACTTGCAGATGAAAAACTATCAGCTCAGAAATGATCTGTAAGTTGTTTAAGTTTATACAGCAAAGTAGTCAGTAGAACAACACAAACCCATAACTTCTGATTCTGATTCATTTCTTTTCTCACTATGATTTTCCCATGAGAGAAATGATTCTTCCATGAAAGCAGAATGCATTTCTAACTTATCCTTGTTTCTTCCTAAACCAACAGGAGTATCTTGACAAGAGTGTGGGTTATTTAACAGACACTATTTTACCAACAACATAACATTAAGTAGTTGAGGCTGGCAAAAATTTCATCATGATCACAAAGTCATTTAGTTAAAGATCTAGAAGGCAGTGGGGAACCACTGTCTAACTACAGTTGTTAAAATCTTTATACGTAAAAAGTACCAGTGGTTAGCAAAGATATTCCCCAAAAAGAAAATTAAACAATATTAGTAAGCAAATATATCAGGAATTTCCTACATTCATACACTAAGAATTCACTCACAGAATATTTTGTAATAAAAGTTAAGAACCAAAAAAAGGTAGCTAATTAAGCATTCAAATGTATTAATTTTGCTAAATAGTAACTTAGCTTTCTGCCATTGCAACAATCATCATTTTCTCTCATCAGAAAATTAGCTTTTGGAAAATGCACATTAATTCAGATTGAAAGATTACCTTTTCCCTTTAATTTATGTAGCTGCATGGAAAATTCACAGCATTTCCTCCAATTTTTCAC